ATCATGGAGTCCAGTGAAGGTGGTGAAAACCTCCTGCACGCTACTACAGGCTGCAGAGATGGGGGTGACTGCCAACCCGTCTGGTCAGCTATCCTATCACATGGGCCAGCTGGGACTGGCCAGAGGAAACGGTTTTCCCTCCTCAATATGCATAGAGTGATTAAAGAAGGCTGCACTGCCATCTTGTACTCAAAAAGTTAAAATACAGAAATTCTCTGAAGGGAGAAGAATCTGAAGATTTATAAGAGACCAACTACTAAAAGCTCCATTAGGACCCTCTCTAAACTATTCCCGTTTAAGTGGAGAAGCAAATAGCCCCCACTGGCATTTATATTTAGAATGGGTGGGGAGAGAGGAAGAGCCCATTTTGACCGCTGAAGGTCTCTGACATACCCATACATAAATCATTTCAGGGTGAGGTGTCACAGTGCATCTTCCACTCTGCCCTTTAAATGGATTGGACCCCAACATCCCATTCTCCTCAGGGGAGGGAGTGGGGGTGGGAGGTTCATGGAGAACAAAGAAGCCACCACTTCCTTTATCCCCCCAACTAAAGACAGATGTAGTAAAAATATCTGCGCACACTTTAAAATACCAAACTGCAAACAGGTAGACTAAATGATAATGTTTGAGAGCCCCCAAACCTACACAAAGATGTATCTATTAAAAAGAACATGGAAATGAATCTACTAAAGAAAGGCTAAGTATGTGATTGATGGCATTCACATGTGCTTTCATTTGTAAGGCTACATTTATTTAGTGAGTGCATCCTTATAAAGAAAATCTGGATAACAGGGGGAGTTCTAATTTTATTTTTTTCATCTACCAAGTCACTGTTTCAAATTTTTAAAAAATAGATTTATGATAACTAAAGAGCACACAAATCACATAAAAAAAAAAGCTAGCTATTTTATCCTTTCAGTGTGGTTAGCAAGGCTCCTTTGTGTCTACAAATTTCCCTGGGTGGTGCTGTTGCCAAGAAATTCTAATTCATGACAAGGTTTTCTGCAAATTGGGGACAGAGGCAAACCTGCGGATGCAGGGAACCTACAGTTCGCTTTGTCTTACTGGCTGAGACAGCACCTGGCTGCTCAGGCCTGTAGAAGGTAGTGCAAAGGCAAGATCTCCATAGAGAAGGAGAAGCAGAGATCAAATCTCACCCCTTGCACCATGAGGCTATTCTTGGAAGGCAACCATTTTTGTAGGTTGCCCCCCAGAGATGCTTCATACCAAAGACTCTTGTAAAAAGTGTTTCAGGGTGCCTGAAACCAAGATGAAATTGCAGTGTTATGGGGACGCTGTAGTTCTTACAGTAGCCAAGTATGCCATTAGTTTAAAACAATGGGGGAATGGGGGAGGAGGGAGGAATGTTCTATGATTTATTTATTTGTTTCCAGTAGCAGTGGAAAATTTCTCTGAGCAAAAGGGAGGCCTGAAACTGACCCCATCTGCCAATTATGAATCAGCATTAACAAGAAGCATAATTCCAGAAGAATTTTCAAGTAAATATACCATGCCCCTCAATGGCGTGAAGCAAAGCTAAGTGCAAATAAGACAGAGAACATCATCACTTGACCTGCACTCATGAAACAGGAGCCTAGCTGTAAAGCATATATCCAAATTCTGAAAGTCTTTGTAGCTTCCCAAACAAAAATAACCAAATAAAAAAGGATTATACCAAATCCTTTTTTATTTTCCAAGTCAGCAGTGGGTCCAGAAAAATATTGCCATATTTCTTATGGCAATAAAACTCATGAACGGGTCCTCCTTTATCCATCATCAAGTGGTACCAGATAAGCTACTCTAGCTTCTGTCCTACCTTTGACTTTTCCTACTTTTGCTCAGACAGCTCTTGGAAATTTTCCTGCAAGTTTCCAAAGAGCTTAAGGCTGGTATCCTTAAGAGTTGTGCGTCAGCTGAATTCCATAAAATAATAGACCACATAAGCACAGTGTAATTTACAGTTATATGACAGGCAGGGATGATGTTACTTGGTCCAAGTGCTTAAGTATGCAGTCAGAGCCCAGGAATGGAGAGCTGTTAATGTAGAATGTGCATCTGGATTTTTAAATTACACCAGCAATGATTTTCAGAGTTGGAGCTGTATGTGGCTAAGACATCACTGCCTGAAAACCCAATGTCAGAATGATAACCCCTGAGACAGGAGGGCCATGACAGGCTCACTGACTATCAAGCAGGACAATTATCTCAGATGAGAGTTTAAAAGAAAATCTCCAAATAGTCCATCCTTAATTTTCAAATGTACAGATGTCTTGGGTTTATCGTCCAAGCCACTCTTTCTTAGGAACCAAATCAGATTACTGGAATATCTGTATTTCGCTCATCTCAAGGTACACTGTTCACTTTCAGAAGTACATCTAATATTGCTCCTCATATGACCTCTAAAATCTGATTACCCCAGAGCATCAGGAAACGTCCTCCTGCCTAGGGTTCTTTGTAGCAATCTTCTTGAGCCGATTTGAGCAAAGGAGCCTTAAAATTTCACCATCAGATGGCTGATTTGGAACCAACAGTTGCATATAACCACACTCCCCTCCTTTACACTCAGAATAGGCAAGGGGGGAGGGGGCAGGGAGAGGGAGGAAGGAAGAGATAGAGGTTGGAGGTTATGTCATCAGTATGAACTCAGAGTCACAGTCACCTTTACAAAAAACATTTGTGACTATAGAGTCTAGGGAAGAAAGCTCCTTGGAGTGATACCTCACTTAGAACTGTGTCCTCACAAGTTATGTTTCAGTGTGAACTAGGAGCATGCCTCTGAAATAGCTTGGCAAAGGTTTCAAGGTGAGGGTAGTTGTCAGTTGGAGAGGATTAAGGCAAGAAGTAAGGAGGGAGGTGCAGGAGGACGAAAACTTCTTTGCCCTCAGATAGAAACTAAGCTAGAGGTTCCTTGAAGGGGGTGACATGAAGCAGGGGAGGGGAGGAAAAGCAGAGAAGATTTTTGAGGAAACAATAGATTTAATACATCTTTTAATTATCAAACCAATGGTATTTCTTTACAGATCTAGACTGTCTCATGGATGGTCTAACCAGATCTAGAAAAGCAGGTTTCTTCTGGAGAGGCATTCCCCAAAAGTAGGCTTTACTACTGTGAAAACTTGAACCAAAACAAAGTTGTGTGATTCATCAGGAGAGAACGTTGTAACAAATAAAGCCAACTTTCTTCTCTCCAACACTGCTTAACAGTTAGTCACAAACAAGGGCTGCCTTGGGCAGGCTGACTAAATCAACAAATTCTCTTCCCTAACCTGTCTAGACAGTTGTTAATAGGCAACCGATTCAACACCAGTGGGCTGACAGTGTGAAATGAAGACTATTTCAGAAAATGAAATTCTGGCAACCTTTTGGTGTAATTAGCATGGGAAATAAAAGGAGGAAAAAGCTCTGGTGAGACCCTTCATGAGATAGTCTTGTTAAGGATGGGGAAAGGATGCACTGGAGAAATGCTTTATGCTAAAAACACGTGAACTGTATGTACATTTAGAGAGACAAAGTCAAACACATCTGCCAGCATCCTCGGGCAGGAACACATGTGCGGACGCACAGACACTGGGGACCAGTGCCTGGAGAAACTCACAGCCCAGAATCAAGGGAGAACAGCAACTAGTAATGGTACCGAGGATCGGCTTTGCCACTGGGCTTGGTACACCAAAAGCCAAACCTCACTTGCTAAGGCAGCAACTGTTACATCCCAGGCTCAAGCTGGCAAATCCTGCTTTGGATCTTGGCAGAGGAAATTCAGCCGTTCATTAGCCTTAACAAGCTGCTGTCACGGAGCAGAGAAGTTACATGAACAGCCACACACCAAGCCTCTCGCAGCCCTCCCCAAGGGCAAGCACGTTTCTCCAAGACGGACTGTGCATGTTCATGCTTCCAATGTGCAAATCCGGACTGTCTTCTTGGACTTTCCATGATACACATTGTACAGTTTTGAGAGAATACCCGTGTCCCTCCACCTACCCCCCACCCCCCATCTTTCCTGCAGAATGTCCCCTCAGCAGCTCCTAATCCTTACTGAGAAAACCACTGTTTCCGCCAGCAGGTCTAGCACTTTCCACTGACCAGTACTTTCTTTATTCCACTTCACAAAGCCCAGTGAACTTGTCACGAGCCCTATTTCGCCTTCACTGGGACACCCAGCCAACTTGGCATTGGTGCCCTTCAACATCCTAGGAGTTTCTTAACTAGTCCTCTAAGACAAAGTCAGAGGCATGGAAGCACACATCACCCTTTGTCGGAGGTTGTGCTAACTGGAGAGGGACCCCAAACGAAAGAGAGAAGCAAGGACACACACACACAGTGTTGTCTTCCTCAAGACATTGCACTAAGGGAAACCTACAATGCACGGTCAGCATTAGACAGATACAAAGGTACATCTTCCCATCCTCCTGGGAGAAATCCTTGAGTATCTATTATCACCGGAGTCCTCTTCCTTCTGCCCACCTTCTAGTTTCAAAATCGAGTTACAGTTTTTTATTGATACTCGCTAATTACCGGGAAAACACTCTGTTTTGCTCCTACCCCCGTCGCCCCCCCACCTCATCTGACCAGCACCAGTTGAAAGAGATGAACCTGAAAAGGTACCAAGTAGGTAGAGCTCGTGCATGTAGGGACACGGTACCTGTCAGTGACAGCTCGGAAAGCCCCAAACCACCTTCCAACCCGGCTCCTCCGAACCCCAGAAGTTAAGCAGGTTTCTGCTGGGGGACAGTGAGCCCGACAACGTGTGCGCAGGGATGTGTGTTGGTGACTGAAACGCAGGCAGCTCGGACCGGCTGCTCAGCTCGGCACGCTAAGGGGTTAGGGGGTGGATGGAGAGGTAAGCAGATGACTATTTCCCAAAACATTTTAAACAACAAACAGCCAAAAAGGGGGGGAAAATAAAACAAACAAAAAATTCAACCCCAAGCCCACACCAACGCAGCCCCTGCGTCTCCGCCGCCACCACACGATTTACACAAGTAATTTAAATCATTCACCTGCTGCCAGGTCTCCTCCAGGGATGGCAAAGCTGAGAAGTAGCCGGTGTCGTGGACAAGTTGTAGCTCCTGGAATATACTATAACTAGCCAACACGTCCATGCTGCTGCTGCCGGGCAAAACGGGAGGAGAAACCCTCCCCCGAACACAGTTGGGTCTGTTTGTTTGTCAGTCTGTCTGGCTCACCCCCCAAGAAGGCAGACATCCAGTGGCCCTTTTGTTTTGTTTTGTTTCAGTCAACTAAAAAGGAAAAAAAAAATCAATGCAGGAGAGAGGGAGAGAGGAGGTGAGAGAGGAGAGACTGAGTGGGGTGGATGGAGAGAGGCATCCAGCGTGTACAGTGCAGACGGCTGCCAGGAAAAGGGGACTTCTCCACGGGAGTAACAATTCCCTTCCAGGGCTCTAATCACTCCAGCTCGTGGATCAGGAAGGGGGATGCAAACTCACTGACACGAAGCTGCCATCTATTTCTGCAGCGCTGTTCGCTCCTAATGCAATCTTTGCTCTTTATTTTGGGAGGTTGCATTTTTTTTTCTCGCGATCGCTTCTCTCCCCCCCTTTCCTTCCCTCCCCACCCCCCACCCCATCCTTGCTAGTTTGTAGTCTCTCCCCCCTCCTCCTTTTCTCCTCCTCCTGCTCTTCCCCCTCCCCAAACTCCCTCCCTCCGCCCGGCTCTCCGCGCAGCCGTGGGATCTCGGAGGAGGGCGTCCATTAGGCCGCGTGTGACCATGTAAGGTAAACAGGGGGCTCATGAAGTCACTGAGGGCCAATGGGGAGCGCGGAGCGGGGCCCGGGGCGGGGCTTGGCCCTGGCGGCGGGCGCGGATTGGCGCGATGCGGATCTCCCTGCTGCCTTACAAGGCGGTGCGGAGAGAGCTATTTTTTAGAGGGCTATATAAGGGGGCTGAGGCGGCCGGGGAGCGCGAGTGCGAGGGACGGGGAGGGCTCGGCGACACTCGCGCTGGCTCCCGG